CTCTCCCTTATTTTTAAGCCTTCTCAGGTTTTTAAGTGGATTTAGCCCATCACGTCTGGGCGCCATTCTGTAGCGATAGGAGCGGCAGGGCTGCGTCCCCGGCACCCGGCCGCCCGCACGGCTAGCTTATGCCCAGAAATAATTACATGGAAACTGTATTCTTTTAAACACTGCCTGACCCATGTAGGCAGTAAGCACAGATGTTGTATACAGACATACTTTAAGACAAAATACCAGTACACAAAAATAGATGAATTACTTGTATGCCAGGCAGTGATGGCACTCACCTTTAATCCCAGCACTCAGGAGGCAGAGACAGCCTGGTCTACATAGCCAGTTACAGGACAACCAGGGCTGTTAAATCCTGTCTCAGGGGGAAAAAAAGCTTTTTGGGAAAAGCATAAAGGATAACATCAGTTGTAGTCTTTCTCTGTCCTTGCCTATCAGGATGAGTGTGTGGCCCCTGATGACTGAGAGGGAAATGCACATCCTCCTGAGACTAACCTCAGCCCCAGATCCAGGATGATGATGGTTTTGTAGCTGACTGTTCAGTTTGTCTTGGTCTCACAGGCATATATGAGAAGAGTATACGGAGTGAGACTGGACGTTGGTTGACTCCCAAGGACTTTGAATTCAAAGGAGGTCGCAAAAACTCCAAGAACTGGAGGCAAAGCCTGCGTTGCTATGGATGGACCCTGAAAGAGTTGATAAAGGTATTCTGGTGGTAGATAGCTTCCATGGTTCCTGGGTAAGACGGTGGATTAAAAGCTTCTATGTGATAGGCAGCTTCAATTATTCTGGGGTGAGACAAGAGATTAGAAGCTCTCTCCATGTGACTGATAACTTCAAACAAGTTATTTCACTGTTGTATTTCACTGACACCAGACGGTAGCAGAATGTCTGTTTACAAGATACCATTATGATTCTTCTAAGCCAGGGTCCATGGCATGGGTTGATGCCAGTATGCCACTCAAGTGTTACCTTGACTGGCTTGCATTACAGCTTAATCATTGAAATGCATTAATTTGCATCCTTTGGATGGTAGGAGAAAAGACTGTGACCTTTACCATTAACTAGCTGCATAAAATTTGGTATCATGAATATAATTTAAGTTAAATTTGAGTGTAATTTAAATGTGGAATGCCAGTGTGAAAATAATACATGGTTACGTGTCTAAAGATAATGCACCCGTGTGGATGCTTGAGTTACAGGATTGTCCAGCAGTTCTTCTTCCAGGTCATCATCTCATACTTGTTCTTGAACAGCTGAGTATGGTTGCCACACCTGTAATCCCAGCACTTGGGAGACTGAGACAGGGAGATTGCTCCAAGCTCAAGGATGGCTTAGACATTGTAGTAAATGCCAGAACAGGTTACAGAGTGAGACCAACCTCAACTCTATCTACCCAAAAATAAGAGTAAATAAAGAAAAAGTAATTTGAAATTGCATTTTAAAATAAGTTCTTTGCTCTTCATTTATATCAATCCCCTGAATTGGGGAAATCAAGAGGTTCCCTTAGTAGTAGAACCTGTTTCATTTGACGTAGGGTTCACAGATCTTTCTGGCATGTGCCTCAGATGGCCTATACCTGTGTCATCCTCACAATAAAGGACAAAAGTTTTCTCATTGAGTATTGGCTGAGCTGCATCTAAAGCATGGGAAGTATAGATGTGAGCCCCTGGCCAGGGCAAGACTGCAACTTCATACCCTACCTGCAGTTACTACTGTGGAGGAGAGGAGTCTGTAGAAAATGATACTGCAGGTAAGGGGTAGGATGGCTATTTCTGGGTTTAGGACTAAAAGCCTTGTTATGGAACAGTCTTCCCTGAGCTGGGTCACAGAGGGCAGTTCTGACAAAGTGTAGGGGTGGGGTTTTCTGCATGGGGAAAGAAGGGCATTAGAAACCAGCCCTCAATGTGTCTGGAAACTGTGGGAGATCAAGTAGCATCTCTTGTTTGAGCTCACTGTGAAAATCACCAGGCCAGGAAAAGGTGGTTAACTGTCTCCTTAACTCAGTGTGAGGGCACATGGGGAGTATTTCCATGACAACTTGTATTTAACAATGGTATATCCAGACAGAGAAACTAGAAAGCAGTTAGAAATACAAAATAAAAGCAAAGACTTACCCCATCATTAACATCTCTGTCTTTCAGAAAGAATTGCTGCCGAACCCACAAAGGAAAAAGGAAAAGGTAATTATTCCAAGATCTCCATCCATGATGTCTGATGCCATCATCTACAAATTGGTAGTTGTGTTCCATACTTTCTTGATCCATTCTTCCATTGAAGGGCATCTAGGTTGTTTCCATGTTCTGGCTATTACAAACAATGCTGCTATGAACATAGTTGAGCATATACTTTTGTTGTATGATAGGGCATCTCTTGGGTATATTCCCAAGACTGGCATTGCTGGGTCCAGGGGTAGGTTGATCCCGAATTTCCTAAGAAACTGCCACACTGCTTTCCAGAGTGGTTGCACAAGTTTGCATTCCCACCAGCAATGGATGAGTGTGCCCCTTTCTCCACAACCTCTCCAGCAAAGGCTATCATTGGTGTTTTTGATTTTAGCCATTCTGACAGGTGTAAGATGGTATCTTAAAGTTGTTTTGATTTGCATTTCCCTGATCACTAAGGAAGTTGAGCATAACCTTAAGTGTCTTTTGGCACAAGGAACTCAGGACCTCGAGGGGTGCACCCACACACTGAGACAATGGGGATGTTCTATGAGGAACTCACCAAGGCCAGCTGGCCTGGATCTGAAAAAGCATGGGATAAAACCAGACTCGCTGAACATAGCAGACAATGAGAACTGCTGAGAAGTCAAGAACAATGGCACTGGGTTTTGATCCTACTGCACGTACTGGCTTTGTGGGAGCCTAGGTTGTTTGGATGCTCACCTTACTAGACCTGGAAGGAG